ACTATGTAGAAGGCACCTAGTCCGAAGTCGTCTGCCATAGTAGTTGTCATGATTCCCAGCATCAGACAGTTTACTTGGTACATTCTCAAACGTTTCGCCGGCATCGTAGTCGGCAGCATCAGTGAGTTTTGTCATTCTTCGAACCAATCTACGAAGTTGTCAAAGAGAACTCGTCTTGTTTTTTTGACGAGTTCGTAGCTTGGTGCGAAAAATGACAAAACTCACTGATGCTGCCGACTACGATGCCGGCGAAACGTTTGAGAATGTACCAAGTACACCGTCTGATGCTGGGAATCATGACAACTACTATGGCAGACGACTTCGGGCTAGATGCGTTCTACATAGTCGCCCTGACAACAAGACCAAGTTGCGACAACGAGGTCAACCTAATTCTATAAATCGAAAGGTGACTGCGACCATAACACAGACCACAACATCTTGGTCTTCATATATTCTGTAAAAATATTAAGCTTACACACGATTCAAGTCACTAAAAGTTTAGCTGCTAACAATGGGCAGCTAAATTATAACGTGAAAAGACATTGCAAACACATCATCAAGCCTTGATGCATATAAAACTACTTACTATTAGTGTGTTTTCTAAAGCCTTATCAGGTTTTTAATATGAACTTAGTCACCAAAGGCCACCTTAAGTAATTGATAAAAAATTAAAAATACGCATTCAATAATTAACATCAGAATAATAATTAACTAATCATAATAGTTGTTTATTTACTGATTAACAGAGGAGTTTACAGGCTTTGCTATAGTACTCATATAAAATATAAGTAGTGTCATCGACGGCGTTACTGGGCGTTACTTTTATCAACAAAAGAATATTGTTTTTAAGCTGAGATTGTGCCTATTTAACATGCAGCAGAGATACGTTTCTCAAGCTCCAACCCCTTGCCCTGATACATGATCAGCTTAGGACAGACTAAGTGAAACCGGCCAAGCTATCTAATTGGATTCAGGTTTGTCTAGCCAGACAAGCCTCAGTTCAGAAGTCACTTTTCCCATTGCGACTGTGTTTCATGTAGTGTTTTATAGTGATATGTGCAAATAGAAGCAGACTTATCAGTTCGTCACTTCCTATTCCTGGTAGTGAATCTAGTATTTCCGTACTCGAGCTTAAGTGAGTATTAACTCGACCCTTTCTAACTGGCACAAAATCAAGATGCCAATCCGATGTCCAGCCCAGCTCCGCTGTAAGAGATTTTCGGACATCATTCTGGTTGTAAGCGTATATCTTTCCTCTTCCTAACATGCGAGTTCACTTTTTTACATGAATTTCTCCCCATCCCTCAGCAGCGTGCACCGGCGAAACGCAGTCTTCCACCCCTTTCGTCAGTCTGCCCTGGAGACGACTTGTAAACTCGGTGTGGATACCTACCCGCGTGTCCATCTGCTCCGACAGATGAGACCGGTCCCTTCTTTCGCATGGCTGCAGGCGATTTGCATAACTGTACCACACAGGGCACTGCCTCCGGCTGGCAAGGGAAAGGGGCGAACCACAGAAGCGATAACAACAGAAAAGAAGATCACTCGTTTTCGTCACCGGACAACAATCGGCCAACAGGTCAACCCAACAGCTTGGGTAGGCGAATGTCTGAAGATTGGCTGCTACTCGCCAGTCGGCTAGACACCTTCAGGAGCTTGAAGTAGAGCCTAAGTATGAGTTGTGTGGAAAGTATACCAAGAGAGTGTGAATGAAAAGTCAGAGACAGGGGGTGGATTGAAGCAGCGATACTAGATCAAAGGAGAGCCGAATTTTTGTGATTTACAAAATTAAGAACATTAGAGGACATTACAAGTAAACTGAAAATAACGAGGTAGGACCACAGGAAAAACGAATTTAGGAATATACATACGCTTGGCCCTTTTAGTGAAGTCTCTTTAGAAAAAAAAAATTAATTTTGATGTGAAGGATTTTTGAGACTGTTTGAATTTTGTGAAAAAAATTCCCTTTTCTGTGACCATCTCTTGTTATTATAGAAATAATGAGGTAGCCTCCACAGTCTCATTGTCCTATGTATTACCGAGTAGAGGTGAGGGGCTTTGTGAACAAAATTAAAGAAA